GAACAGCTACTTTCCTGGAGGCTATGTTAACATACCAGTTCATGAGAAACCCTGACAGAGGACTAGTAGGGGATTAGGATTTGTGAATGTGAATGTACATGAGAGACAGAGAGAGCGTGTACATCCTCACTAGATATCCTAAATGCACAAGTATGTCCACGTCTGCCCTATATGCTAGCCGGCTTAATATAGACTGTGAGCAAGGAGGGGACACGTTCACTTCAAGAGTCACTCTAAAGGACTTTCAGTAACTAAAACTTTAAATAGAGTAGTTCTGAGATGTGTAATTACACTTTACAGCCAACTCAATGTCATTCATGTAATTAACCATTGGGAAATTTCTGAAGCAAACAACATTCTCGTGTTCTTTTCTGTTTGTAGCTTTTCTTTGTGCTGCACAATATCCAAACCAACCAACTCCAGCTCTTGGGTCCATGTTACATTAATATCTTAAACTGTTCTTGTCTACTAAATACTTTATCACCCAGTATTATGTCTGGGGACTGAGGTCAATCCCCTTTTGCTCATTAGCTTGTTATGAGTTTTAAATATAGAGTGGGGATCATTTTAATATGACAGTTCATTTTACAATAGGATTAAAAAAAATAAAAAATTGGAGTGTCTTCATAGATTCACACATTCACACACTTTAAATGACGTTTTTTTTTTTTTTTTTTTTTTTAATTGACTACATTTCTTTTCGTGTATACCTCTCCACAATTGGCATCATTTTCAGTCTGTGAATCTTCACACATTGCCTCTCTACACTCTCATTAGTTACCATGCAACCATCATGGAGCAGCAGTCTGGAGATAATTTGAGTACTGACAAAGACTACAATGATCAACCCATGTGTATAATTTTGGTGAAAACCCGGCTAGACAAAAGTGTGTGCGCATTGACAAATGAGACTAGAGAACAGTGTCACTGTTCAAGAAAGTAAAATTAAGTTGCATTCATTATCTTCAAATATCATTTATGTCATTCATCTATTGGTGACTATCATTAATATTAATGAGATGATTAAGGTGATGTTTTCCTCATCATTGCCAATATAAACTGGACATCAAATGTCATGAAAATGTATTTAAATTATATTAACTTATTTCACGTTGATTTATTGGTTGATGTAAACTGTCAATTTGCAGCTCTGCCGACATCAGCAATAGAATATTGAAGGCAGCTGTTAAATAGATTTACACACAACTACAGATGCAGACTTAATATCATTTTAAAGCTCTCAGGTCCGGATGAGGTATTATGCAATACCACATACACATAAAGTAAGTGCTTCCACAACCTTTTTCCCGCTTTTATTATCATATGGCAGGCAATAATCTCTTGCCTTTCAGCCAACATCCATTATGATGTATCACATCTGTATAATGTATAGTAGTTTTTAGTGCAGTCTTGATGCATTTACAGCAGACATCCCATCAGGTATAACTTCTGCTGAGAAGGTTGAAATAACTGGGTACTAAAATCGGGGGCACTGAATTTCACAGTCCCTCTCCAACAATCAATAAGCTCCTCTTGACCTTTATGTGCATCAATAATGGTATTTCTGCCTTTTGGATGATGATAAGAACTTTAGTTCATCCTCAGACAGGAGTATTTCTTCCCCTGTGAAAACTGTTGGCTTAAGATTGAAGTGCTCAGCAGCTCAACCCAAAGCAAATATTGAGACTTAAACAGTGGTGGAGAAAGTGCACAAAAGAAAACGGCTGGGAGAAAAGAAAAAGAACGCCTCTACATGCCCACATATTTTCTATTCTCCCTTTGACCAGTGCATGGATTAAAGCTCGCCAAGCTACTTGCCATGGGTTGAATGTCTAACATGACATTGGTATTCAGTGTGTGTGTCCCTCTCTGTATGTCCACCTCTGAGTCATGCACAATGAACCCTCAGCAGCACTAGGTACATGACCTTCCCTCCAACACCAGCACCACTGTTGGCTCGCCACGTGGTAACTTGTTAATGTCAGAGCTCTCTCCTATCTCTCTGTGTCTTTCTATCACATACACAGAGGTGAAAAATTTGACCCCTAGGTCTTACACAATCATATCCTATCCCTTTTCACCCTCGAAGGGACTTTGGCTCCGACACCCTGGAACAAGTGACCTTTCATGGGAATGTAATGAACACCAGCCACAGCCTCCTCCATTCCATGTCTGGCTCCAGGCCTAAGTGGCATGTAATGTAGTTTTCTACATGTTATATGACTCAGGAAAGCCACCTATTGGTGAACAGTTTAAACCATCGAACAGCTGAACAGTCATTATTTACTAACTCGTTCTAGAGGCTAGTCTTTAACTATGGAAAGCAGGATGGAGGTTTGGGGGTAAGGCCACGCAACATGCCTGAATCCCTGCTGTGCCTTTTTGGACATCAGAACTGCTTACGTGACCAATGCCAGGGAGGACTTCATGTCCTCTGGGCCACTCACGCTTGAAGGCTTGCATACTTAGTTTGGTGACTCATCTAAAGTGAGCTAGAGGCTTGTGTTGTTTCTAAATGGGTTTCTGCTCTGTGACATTGGTAGCAAAGTGACAAAACAGATGGTTTAAGACAAACCTGTTTGCAGTTCCTTGTTTTAATGGCCCCTCTGGAAAAAAAAACAAACAAACATGTATACTATGTTTTCACCCGTTCACGTGTCTGCTTTTTAATGTGAGGCCTTATACAGGGAGCAGTAGTAAGGGATAGAAGAAGGATATATTTTTAATACAGACCAAAGCATGGCCGTCCCGCTCTGCCCTAATGGCTAATAGGGTGCTGTTGGATACATTCCTCAGTGACATCTCTCCATTATCCTCAACCCTGTGCCTTATCTGTTCTCTAAAGAAAAGTACACAGGGTGGCTCTATCCTCGCACCAAAATAAGTGGCAGACAGAGAGCCAGATGGGGGAGAGGAAATGGAAGAAAGGAAAGTGCTTCTACCCCAGCTGCTATCCTGAAAAGTGGTTACATTTATAGGAAGGGGAGCAGATCAAAGATGCTGAAACCATTACACACACATGTGGCCTCCTCTTTTCATGAGGCTCAAATGGGTCAGGTGGTAATGACTCCCCTTTCACATTAGAGGGTGTTTAGTGGGCCAAATCTGACAAAGGAATGGGATGATCAAAGACGCTGCGCGGCACTGGCTTTGTGTGTTCGGATGAAGAATGGGATTATTTATTTTTTTGGCCATGTGTGTGTGAATATAAATCCCAACCATGATGTACTTATGGGGAATATACTTAACTTCTTTCTTTTTTTTCTGAAAGTTGTATCCCAAAGGAGGTGATAGAGGTGGAGAAAATAGTAAACAAAGCACAACAAACTTTGGAGTGTCCTGCTGGCTTAGTTGTTGGAGACATCCTACTACTACTGTATGTCATATACTTGCAATCCCATTGCTTAAACTTGGGCCCTCTTGTATTTTTCTCTGTGCTATCTAAAAATGCCCCAGATATCAACATTTATTTGTTGCTTAGCTCAACTGTGTGGTCATTGAACAAAAGAAAAATTGCCACTTCCTTTTTGCCGGGAAAAGCTGCGTGTAAAATCGGATGAAATAGCTCTTATGCATTAGGTGATTTGGATGTACAGTAGATACAAATAACATCTTACATAATACTTGTATTTGATTCCTGGAAATACATCTCATGTACACAATTATAATATACAACTTGCAGGCAACTCGCACACACACTCACACACACGCACGCACAAACACAATGTAAGGCTGCTTTCAAGTTCCTGCATTGGTTACACATGAGACAATTTGCCTTTCATTGAGGATTCAAGGCCACTGTGGAGGTTCTCTGTGGACCTGCATTGTGTCTGGGAGTGCTTGTGTGTTTGTGTGCGTGCGGTTGTTGTGCAGATCTTCTGTGTAAATGCATGCAAATACACATGGCATCATCTGTTTTCTCATCTCTACTCATCAACATATTCTACAGGAGCAAAAAAAGATAACAACATGAGCAACAGCCTTTTGGGTGCTGCTGCCAAAAATACTCCAGTATGTAATCATTCCATGACACCACGACATAAACAACTGCACAAACAGCAGGACACATCTTTATGAAGCGCAAAGAAGGTGCCAATGAAAGAGTGCCAAATCCAACAGTACAGGTCAACCTCAGAGAGAGAAAATGTTAGACAAGAATGGGAAAAAAATGACAATGGACCTCTTGAAATCTCATGAATATTACCATAAATATCAATTACCATACCACGCTTGTCAACAGTATGGTAAATGCTAAGAGTGACCTTCCATGATGATTAAATGCACCTTTTGTGTTTCTCTGTAAACCGAGGTGCAGTTCTAACATCTCATCACTAGGAGGTGCACTTGTATGAAGCAAAACTTAATCTCGACTCCTCATAGCCACAGCTCTCAAGTTCTTCCACTGCCACTATTTTTAGTAAAGCACTCACAAACCAGCATTGACAGCCAAATGTAAAACATTTCTTGTGCAACGACATATAAGTCAGTGTGAAATATACGCCCTAGGTTGAGAGTTGGGCTAATACTATAACCCCCCTGCCCCCCACACCCCCACCCCCAGGCTCCCCCCCCACCCCCTGAGCAGGGCATTTTAAACACTGGATGAGTAGAGTTTAACTTCTATTCCCTTAAATCATTGATGCTTGGCTGTATATCTGATCAGCAAATAAAGCAGCAATCATCTTATGAGACCAAAAACAAAAAAAAAAGAAAGAAAGAAAAAAGAAAAACAAAACATCTATGTCAATCAATTCCAAATCCCCAGAGAGGATTCAGTTCATACCATCATCAGCCCTCAAACAATACGACCATTGCCTTTCAGCTCTCTAGCCCACAAGTGGACGCAGTGATTGGCATTAAGAGAGGGGTTCCCCCGATGGTTTGGGAGGGTATTTCCCCTGGTAGGTCATGCATAGCAGGGGTCATTAGTACAGAATGGAGGAAGGAGGGGGGGGGGGGGGTTCCTTTGTCATAGGCAGAGGTGATAATGGCCTACTTACCATATTGACTTCTGATACCATGTCTATGCTGGCTATGTCTATATTCATTCCCACTCCAACCGGAGCACCTGGGACAGATAAAAAGAAACAAAAAAAACAAAAACAACGGTGATCAACAGAGATAGTACAGTAGGTGAAGCCTGTATGATTCACTTGAAACCTTTGCGAGAAACGATTAATAACGTGTGCGTGATGGGAACACAGATTAACACTTGTGAATGTAGCTGTTGTCAGCCGGATAATAGTTTACAGTGTTCATTTCGGGTGGGATTAGATGCGCTGAGCTGCGGTGAAAAGTGCTGGTAATTCCCCCCTACCCCACCCCCCAAAAAAGAAAAGAAAAAAAAAAGTTTTTGACATTAAATCATTTGGCACAAAAAAACATACGTCCGTCGCAGTGGATACCTGAAGTGGAGCAGAGATATAAACAAGGAATAGGCATTTATTTGTATAAAAAATCCAGCAGACGTGCACTGGGAGTTGACAGCCACCTTTTTTCTTTACTATAGTGATTTTTCATTCAAATAAATGAGCTGGTGTGTTTTATCATCCACCCCCCCCCCCACCCCCCACCCCCCACCTCCTGCAACCACATCACTCATGTGTTTCCCCCTCCATAATGTCGGTATTCTGGGTTGATCCAACACATTTTTCGCCTCGACTGTATCATATATATCACAGATTGTGGCACCTGCAGAAGCCGAAAAGAACTGTCTCTTTTTTTTACTTTCCGAAACTGCAAACCTAACTGAGTTATCCGCGACTGTCATAGCCACCCCCCACCCCCCACCTCCTGCAACCACATCACTCATGTGTTTCCCCCTCCATAATGTCGGTATTCTGGGTTGATCCAACACATTTTTCGCCTCGACTGTATCATATATATCACAGATTGTGGCACCTGCAGAAGCCGAAAAGAACTGTCTCTTTTTTTTACTTTCCGAAACTGCAAACCTAACTGAGTTATCCGCGACTGTCATAGTAATTAAAAGACTATACTATTATACAGGCTGACAAAGGCGCAAAACTCGAACAGAGTTGGTGAAAATACGAGTTCATTTACCTCCGAAATCTGGCCTCAATCGTATGTCATAACCTTTCAACAGTCTGTCCACCGTTTCTTTAACCAAAGACATATTGCTAGGGTCATTGACACCGGCACTATGGAAGAAAAAAAAGAGAGAACAGGGAGCACAGCAGATTTAAATGCGAGATATCCTTGGACCATAAAGTGTCCAAGTATTTTCCATGCCGTCTGTAACACTGTCACACTTAGTAAAAATGAGTGGAGCATCCTCCGACCCTTTCACTTACCTTTGGGCGCACACCACGGCCACTACGAGGGGGAACAACCAGACGCAAAAACACCTCATTCTTCTTATTCTGAACACTGCCATACTTATGATATGTTTTTTTTCTTTTAGTGAAGACAGACGATGTCCAACTTATTCTTGCCAGTGCAGTAATTCCAATGCCGGGCGCATGCGTATTCCCGACCACAACATCAAGAAGCAGCGCTGCTGCTGATGATGGTAGTGGCAGAGGTAGTAACCAGCCAGGGAGATTTAAAGGAGAATCAAGACTACAAGTTACTCAGGGGGCACACGGGTGTCTCCCTGGTTTCTTTATAGCCCAGTGTGGCTGTTTGAGAAGCGGGAACTGTAACCGGGGAAAGTCGGTGGTTCGAATCCACGGAGAGAGAAGTGGAAAATGAGGGTGGGGTTGTCTCTCTTCGTTGTTCGCTCTTTACACACCCGTCAGTCAACTCATCTTCCTGTCCCTGAGCAAGGCACTCAACCCGGCTGCTCCAGCAGAGCTGCTCGGGGGTTCCCAGCTGGAGTCTGGACTGGACACTTACTGTAAATGTGTGTAACCCCCTGAGCGTGAAGCAGAAGAGGGGGTGGGGGGTGAGGGGGTTCAACTTTACCTTACTTTCGACTCAAACTTCCACTTTGTGATATTAATCCATATGTGAGATAATGTGATCATTAAAGGAAAGGTGTCAATTATTAGGCTACATATTGTGTTCATTGCGAAACACTGATTTTGATCACTGATGTCAGAGCCTCCGTGCATGAGTCAAATGCCGAGTAAGGGAGATAAGAGTGTTCTTGTAGATGAGGTGAGTAGTGTCAGGTGGGTGCCACTGGACAGCTGAGGGAACAGACTTCACTCCGATTTAGAAAAGCAAAAAAAAAAAAAAAAAAAACTCACTATCAGTTGATCAGATGCTGACTCTGTCCATGGTGCTGAATATAGTGAATTCAGTGACCTCCTCTCTCTCACATAAGAAAAGGGGGGGTTCCGTGCCACAAATGCATCATTGCACCAACAGTTGCTCACTCATCGATATCCACGCATTCGGGGCCTCTGACGAAAACGAGAAGCGTGGCTTAATACTCTGAGAGGCGCGGTGCCAATGCAGTGCCTCGGGGCTGGAAGCGGGATGCATGGAGCAGAGCAGTATGCACTGAAGCCTACACTCAGCGCATCTCTCACAGCCATGCACGCTTGTGGCTCCACGCACTGGTAAGCAGGATGTGCGCTACCGTGTAAAACTCGGACGCGAATCATCATGGATATGGTGGGATCAGAGGCGGATGCTACAGCAGTGAGCCCTGTGTAGGAGTCCTATAGCAGCTCCAGTGCCTGAGAGAGGAGGGAAACAGTAGTGATCCTACCAGGAAGATAGGAGATGCACTGCAAAAAGCACAAATAAAAGTGATGAGCACACACATGATGTGAATCTACTCCTGTTGAGATTGTATTGATTTGTTCAAATTAAAAATTGGAATCCATTCTATTATTAAAAAAAACAAAAAACAAAACAAACATCACATCCTGCACCCCACTTGACCTGATGGGGGCGCTGTTATTAAAATTCAGTGTACAATTTGAAGAGTTTCTAAGTCAAATTAAACACAGTTTGAATTGGGTAATAATCAATGTTTCATTTCCAGCCCCATTGCACAAATTGGTAATTTATCTGCAGGGGGTTAATATGACATTGTTGAGAAACAAAGATTACTTTGGCAGCTTTTTTGGCTTTTCATTTATTTTATCTTCCCCTGCACATGTCAAAAAATAATTAAAAGCCATGTAAAAATAAATGTACAGTACCTTGCATCTTATTACCAAAACTCTTTGTTGAATTGTCACAGAGGCAACAACATAATCTGAAACAGTGAGTTGTGTATGGAATGAAAATTGGTCATAGTAAATTTCTTCAAATACTTCAATGCACTGAAATGCACTGTGTTAACCTAAAGAAGCACAAACAAGCTAGTAATCTTTGGTGATGCAGTTTGTTGTCAGCACAGAGTAGCTATGCTGTGGCACCTGTATAGAAATGTACTTGAAATTTAAGTTGGAGTCCAGTGATAAACCTTAAATGGTGCAAAGGTAATTGGTAAGTTGCGGGAGGTATAAAAATAATAATAATAATGAAGGTTTTGTTTACCAAAAACTGAAAAATCATGTAAAAGTCAAACACAACCAGCCTTTTTCAGGGATTAAGTAATGGGTTAATTTAAAACCTTGCAGGTGTACCAAGTTTTGTTGATGACTTACAAATCTTCGGTCTTTTCACAGCCACTGTCAGAACAAACTGTTTTAATAAATCCTTCAAAGTGTTATTCGGGCAATATTTCAGTGCAGGGAGTAGTAGCTACTCTATATTTCCATCATAATGTCAAGAAAAGTGCAATTAACAAAGGATAGTCAGACTAGTTGCCCAGGTGTTCATCATACAGCAAGAAAATGACCCAACAGATTAAAAGAAAAGAGCCACACAGTGGCTTCACATGACGGAAGAGCAAAGCAATCTCCAGAGTCTGGCATAAACTGCAGAAGGTGAAAGCAAAGCAAACTGCAAAGTGCAACATATTCATGGAATCTTCAGCAATAGTGTTTGGACAAAACTTTCTGAGCAATATTTGATTCACATTGTAGAAAGAATGTGTTCTGTGTTCACATATAGTCGAGTCCAAAAGTCTGGGAACACCAAGAACTCTCGTGTGTTCCTGAGCAAGTGCCCTTGTCTGCTCTAGGGCATGCAGTAGGATCAGCACCATGGAGAGCGTTCATGACATTTGGTACATCTTTTCCTAATGGGCCTGCCACCATGTCTTATATCAATTATGTAATCAACCAAAAAGAGCGGCTGCCATCAGGACCGAACTCAAATTTGTTATTTTTCACGCAGCACAGATTTTGTAAACTGACGTGAAAAGCATGTCAATCTTTCCGAGTAATGTACAGGTTTAGTTGTGTAGCACACAAAGGACATTACCACTATAAATCCATGGTTTACAATTCATACCCTCTTGGAGCATGTGTTTTCATATCTAACTTCATCAGAGGGCAAACAGATGGTGGAACCACAGAGTGCTTCGCCTATCAGGATGTTGTGAGTATTAAAAAAACAGGACTAAGTTGTATTGTAACCCTTCAATGTCAGTGGGTGGATGTTCACATCCCTTTGAAACTGGCGCCGAGGCAAGCAAACAAATACTTTGACCTGCTATGTTCCTCTTAATGTATGATTTACTGTAATGTTTAATATTCCCAAAAGGGCTCTAGCTCCCCCTCTTCTCCCTCCATCTATGTCTCTCTGCATCTTTGCGCTAAGAGGAATATCATAACTGCCTTTCCGAGCCTCCCTGTTAAACATCATGCATCTCCTTCAGTGCAATGTTCAGGTTTTCCTGCTCTGATGAATAAAAAAAGGCTGTCCGCAGTGTCTGTTTGAAAAAAAAAAAAAAAAAGGCATTTGTGTTGTGTCATGTCAGAAAACAGGGGTTTATTTGCTGGCATCCTGGCAGGATGACGGAAAAAGTGCATGTGCAGGGAAGAGGCTTGTGATCTCCCTTTCCTGTCGTGTGTGTGTGTGTGCGTGTTTGTGTGTGCCTGAGTACACAGATAACACATCTCAGTCCATTTTCTGCCATGACATTGACTTTTGTTTTTGCAATAAACAATATGATGACAGCACTCAAATACTGGCATACGCTGCCACACACTGAGTGTTTAGTTGGCCATAACGTTACATAACATTTGATGTTTAAAATAATTTTGATCTTACACATGAATGTGCCCACATCGTAATATAACACACACACACACACACACACACACACATATACTACACAATTCCACACAATTCAACTAATAAAGTAAAACTGATGCTTCAATAAGGATTCTAATGAAGCATTCTTATGATTATTTTTATTCTTTTTGAGTGTTTTGGGGGGTTTTCTGACATTGCGGGGCGGTTTGATTCATCTTCTATCATTATATATGTCTAAAAAGCAATTTCATTACAAGAACATTATGATGTGGGGTTTATCCATATAAATTGGTGTGCCTATAATTCTATCTCTACCCACCACATGTCTCATTTATGAATGTTTCCTCAATTAAATCTTGCTAAAGCTGTTGTAAAACCTTGCCAAATACTGGCAAACTAATAAAGCCAGTGCAATCAGCTCTTATTTATTTACACATTTCAGGCACGTCCAGAGGGAAGGTGGTAAGCGAAGAGGCTGGATTACTATGCAGTGCTTAATAAACCTCTACAGCTTGTGGTCTTACTGTGGAGTTTGCACCTGGTCTGTTCTCAGCAGGTAACACCTCCCATGGATTGACTGTCTGATATCCATCCAGCTCCACAGAGATGGAGCGGCAATATGCCAAAGCACATGGCCAAAATACAGTGGCATCATTGCTTCCACTTACTGTCATGAATGTGTCTTTGAAACGGCCATAAACACTGTTGAGATCTATCTATGTATCTATGTATCTAGGTATCTATCTATCTGTCTATCTATATACCTGTCTATCTAGTCTGTTTAGAAAGAACTGAGAAAGCTGGACTGGCTGTCACATCAAAAATGTCCAAACAACATGAGCTTCGACAGTTAACGTACATAACATTTATAGTATAATCAAACGTGATTTGTCAGCCAGAAACAAAAATTGCACTCAGCCTTTCCCTGTAATTAAAACACCTCTCTGTATTTCTCTTTTATGTGTACTGCAATTACAGCGTTGACATCGCTGATTAGAGTTCCTTAACTCAGCATGAGAGCTCTAATAAAGGCCTGTGGAAGCCATATTCAAATGATCGTCTTCTAATTATTGATGAGAGTATTTAGATCAATGAGATACCAAGAGAATTCAGAAACCAAAAAGAAAATGATGACCGGCAAAGTGTTGTGTAATTATAGTTGACAAGGAAATTGCTGATTTATTTTCATTTATTGATTTTTTTTCTGGACAGGAAATACACCTGAACACATACTTACAGTCTTGCAGCAATGTCTTGTCTCAGAAACAGTTGAATTATGACAATGTAAAAATGCAAGTACAGTTATACAGAGTGGCCCATGCCACTGGGTGTTGTGTAAATTACTATATTAACATTATTGGATCATTGATT